GTTTTGGTTTCTAAACTCAACCAACCTGTAACAAATCTGCCCAGCACATCCTATAACTCAAAATACCAAGTAAAGAGGATGCAAACAAGATCATAATCAACTACCAACATCCACGGACACATGTCCGGATCACTGTACAACAAGGGTAAACCCGGGATCGCTATACAATGTCACATGGTCAATCAGTGTGGTTCCAAAAAATACATAAATAAATAAATAAATAAAATAAAAGGGCAAAAAATAAATAGAAAATAAACAAATAAAATGTAAGTAAAAAAAATTTTAAAAAATAAATAAATAATTGAAAAGATGCTAAATTTAGATTTAGATTTTTTAATAAAAATGTATTTTAAAAATATGATTTTAGGATAAATCGTGATCCCAAAACACAATTTTAGCTAATTTATTGTAAAATGTTGCTATCAAGTCATGTTTTTACAAATACCATTTCATCCTTGAAATTATATATATTTTAAAAATACGATTATATGGATTAAAATAAATTTAAAAGTGTTTTAGTTTAAAAGTTTAATTTTAAACAACTTATGTTTGGTAAGAAAATAAAGGAGTGTATTTTATTAAAAAAATGTAAAAATACATAACAATATGTTAAAAAATATATTAAAATTTTAATTATTTGGACATTTTTTCAATATTCACAAGCCTAAAGATTGGAATCAGAGGAGACACATGGTGCTGTTGTCATTTTCCACCCACAAAGTTTGTACAGAAATTTATGATCTTGTTTGATTTGAGTTTTTTGGATTAAGTTTTTTAAAAATTAAATTTTTTGATTTTCGTATTCTTTTGTTTTTAGTGAATATTTTTTAAATTTTAAATATTTTTTTTACTTTTTTAGATCCACCTTAGTTAGATGTATTTAAAAAGTAAAAATTTGTGAAAAAATATTTTAAAAAATTAATAAATACATAAAAATACAAAAAATATATTGAATTCTTGTAATTTTTTTATATTTTTGGTATTTAGTGAATTTTTAAAAAAAATTTTTTATAATTTTTTTGCTTTTTAGATATATTTATGTTAGGTGTCTCTAAAAAGTAAAAAAATTATTTAAAATATTAAAAAAATATTTATGTTAGGTGTCTCTAAAAAGTAAAAAAATTATTTAAAATATTAAAAAAATTCAATAAAAACAAAAAATATGAAAAATAAGAACGTAAAATTTTTTAAAAAATATTTGTTAAAAAATAAAAACATACAAGCTGAATGGAATTGTGAGCTGGTGGCTTGTATTGTAGGCGCTATACACTTTTAACAGAAGACGGGAAAAAAGATAAAAAAGATGTGGAGAGACAATCATAGACTTTATTATTGAGCTTTTAAATCACAGGGCTACTGTATGGAACTTCATGTTTTATAGTACGGCTGTGCTTGAAAGGTTTGCATTTGTTTTTTTTTTTTTTTGTATTAAAAAGTCATTAAAAAAAGTTTAAAGATTAAAAAAAATTCTACTGATACAAAAAATTAAAAATTTATTTTTTGTGTTTACAACACCGTTGCAGCATCGTACATAAGCCAATCTTTTATTAAAAAAAAAATTGCCTCACAGAGTTTTGAATGAAAATGCATTTACATCGAAATTGAGATAAAGACAAAGAGATTATTACAAAATTTTGACAATTATCAATCTTCTAACAACTTAACATAAGAGTTAATAACATTTTTAAATTTTGGATACAGGATATTATATAGTAGAGCATAATTGAGAAAAATCAAATTTCAATTAGATAGCAATCAGTTCGGGTGTTGCTTTTAGGAAAGCCAATAAAAGGGTGCTAATAGATTCATTTGATAGATATCAAAAACATTTACAGATACGTAAAATAAAATAAAACCAGTGATGCAGTCCAACTCTCAAAGCAATTACTGAAGTAAAGCTGAAAGCTGCCCACATGAAGCCTGCATCTCAGTAACACAGATCACAAACAGAGGCTCCTCAACTATAAAAGGACAGATACAACACAAATAATACAATTTCAATTACTATATATATATACTGTTATGAACTTTCATACCTCAAGCCAAAGAAAAAATGCAATAGACTCTATGCTTAAAGCTGCCATTGCATCTCAAATCACTAGAATTTTCTTGTCTCTATCTCGTACACCTGATTCATGGAGAGAAAAGAAAAGTAAAACGAAATGTGAAAGAAATTTAAGTTACATTTCATTCACATTTCCCTCCTATTTTATTTTCGCTCCACAAATCCTTAGCCCAAATCCAAAATTCAAACACACCCATGGAAAGTTTGAGTTTTCTGCTAGAATAGTAAGGGATGGCAGAGGAAGTCTTGTAGCTAGAAAAACAGAAAGATTGTCAATTGTTCATGTCCATATCAGTGTCATTGAATTAGCTCACAATTCATTGATTCGACACGCATATTAGAAGGAAAAAAAAAATCACAACAAAATGAATAGAACTTATTCAAGATTAACTCACTGTAGTGTCTCCTATCCAAGTTTCTTATCATTTCAGTAAAGTGTCATTTAAATATTTTTTTCAACAAACTGTCGACACAAATTATATATGCAAGAATTCTATATTAGAACCAAAGATTATATATATGCAAGAATTTTATATCAGAACCAAACATTATGCATGCAAGAATTTTATATCTCAACCAATTTTAGTTTTTGTACAAGCAACACAGCATCGCCCACCAGCACTGTGTATTTCTAACTTGATCAGTTTATTTTCAGATGATTGGGAATCTTTGGTTTGCCAATGACAAATATTTTATTTTATTTTAGTCCGCCAGTTGTGGCAGCTAATTTGAAACTTGCAGTTTCATCTACATTTTGATTTATATCTTGAAACAAGAAAATAAACTTTCAAATTTTTCTAGAAAGAAGAATTTGACAAATAACTATTTTCTTCATATTCAATGACAAATATATTAACCCATGTTGGTTCTTTGTTTTCTCATTGTACTTTCTTCAAATAGTTGCACTTTCTAGGCTACTTTTTTTCTTCTTAAAAAAAGAAAAAGAAAACAACAATTCATATATTTATATATAAAACTGAATAAGCTAAACAGACATAGAACATCCACATCAACCTCAGTAAAATTTGAGCCAAATTATAATCTAAAATCCACTTTTGTGATTAGCTAACCTCTTTTTTATGTGCACATTCCATCAAACTCTCTATTCTAAAATGCTACTTCATTAAAATATTATTTTTATTTTTCTATAATTTTTCTTTTATTATATTTTATTTATAATTTTCTATGTTACTAGTATATTTTATTTCAGTAAAATATTATTGTGATTCTTTTTCCTTTTCTATAGTTTTTTTATTATATTTTATTATAACCTCACGTGTTAATGCTATATTGATAACAGTATTAAACTAATACAATATTAACACATGAGATAATAAAATTTATACATAATTTTCATACATAATAACTATTGAAAAAGTTTGTCATGAACTTTTGTTTTTCATTGTACATAATATCAGCAAAAAATATTTTTCCCCCAAATAAACAAAGCATAAATAATAAATAAAATATAATAATTATAATATTATTGAATATTTTATTATTTAAAATAATCTGGAGATCCTTTAGTCACTAGCTAGTTGTAGCTATTGGCTTAGTGTTTAACTAAAATAGCCAACAGCTAGATAAGTTTTATGGAATACATCTTTTATTGGTTTACGCTATAAAATAACTAACAAAAGGACATACCGAGTTTGATGTTGATGATCTTAGCTAGAACTTGTGGTGCATGAATAGCATACTTTGTAGTTTAAGTGACACAAAAGTGAAAACCAAACAAGCAATTAAATTACATACAAATTTAACGTCTTGCACTAAACCAAACAAAGTAGAGCTATGTGTCAACATGTGAACCTGAGATATCTCCGATATGCTTGAACCATCAAGGTCGAGGAGCATAGAGGGATGAGCAACTTAATTCATTACAGGGCACTAAGACACTGTCATCCGTCCTGTAACAAATTAGCAGATTGGTAAGTGAAATTCCCCGATTTGGATTTTGATTAGGCCTAATTATATTCATTTGGGTACACTTCCATCAAACTTTTCATTATCAACATTGCAAGAAAATCGGGAATTAGCGGCGTTTTATAAACGCCGCTATAGGCAAGAAAAACGCCGCAAAAAGATAAAACGACGTTTATAAAATTCGTCGATGACGCGGCCGTCGTTGTATGTTTGTGACGTTTGAAAAACGCCACTAAAGACTTTAGACGACGTTTTCTAAAACGCCGCTAATTCTTTACAGCCGTTAACTACGCACGTTAAAGGAGTTATCTCTGACGTCATAATGACGACATTTCGCGACGTTTTAAGAAAAACGCCACCATTTCTTTCATTTTAAAAAAAAAAATGAAAAATCATAATTAATAATCTTTTGACTTTTGTTCAAACCAAACCTATATCATCCATCATCATCCATCACCATTCTCAAAATATATACCATAATGTGAATGAGCATTCATTTTTCAATTTTCCATAAAATAAATAAATAAATAAATAAAACCCCTTTAAATACAATATGACAATACAAAATCATAAAAATAATAATATTCAGTGTGCTCTCCAAATTCTCTGAAAATAACTTCATCCACAGCTCTCTTCAGCTTCATCAAGTCATCAATCATCTTCACCAAAATGATGATTATATACCTGAATCATCCAATTCCATTAACACAACTTCAATAAACTTGAATGGTTGAAAAATCTACATACTCTTGCATACCATGTCAAGAAGGTCTTAAAGAAACCAGGTGGCACTTCCATTGTCGGCAACTTCAAGTTTCAGATCTAAAAGTTCAAATATCAGACTCTCATCACGCGCAGGGTCTGCAAAAACCTCCTTCAAACAAGCAATGAATTATTACAACACGAAGTCAGTCAACAATTGAGATCCAAAAAGAGTGATAATGAAACTGAAACAGACAGAGCATCATATGAAGGAAACAAATTGGAGAACTATTAAAAGAAAAATGCACCAATAACCTGATGATCAGGGACTTGTCGAATGTTGCTCACATCCTGCAAGTCCAGCAAAAGTTCATCAGTCAATGGCCTTGTCTAGTGTTCAAATATTGATGAACCCTTAAATATGTATACATAGATATAAGAACTAACCTAAAATCGAAGAGGGAATGTGCTGGCTATTGCGCCACCAAACAAGGGACGCTCGGCATGGTAATCTTCTGCCATTTTTAGCAATGTTTAGACCCAATAGCGCACTTTTCCCAACTAGAATCAAAACAAAACACCCATCAAAACCAATTACACATTTGTGCACTCAAGACATTTACGAAAGTTATACTTGTTTTGTGTTGCACAAAATCAGACAAATCGAAACGTTAATTTCTAAAATTTTGGTGAATTGAAAGTACTTACTTGTGAAGTGTAGAAAGCGGAGCAAATAGTGGGGGCAAAGAAGAAATCAAAGTTCTCAATTTTACTTTATTTTTAACTGTCAGATTTTAATTAGGAACCAACAAACATTTCAATTAGGCACAACGTCAAGTTGAGACATGTCAAGTCGAATTCATGTGTAAGCTTTGTGTTTTGATTAGCATAGATGTTTGTTGGTATATTTGTTAGTATCCAAGGCTGGCTCTAAGTTCTTGGGGGCGTTAGGTGAACTGTCTTAAACTTGACCCTTTATTCATAATCACAAAAACAAAAACAAAAACCAAAACCAAAAAAACCTTTGTGGGTAAAATGAAAAGTACCTACAATTTTATTTTTCATTAACATGATTTCATTATCAACTGAATCTGAGCTCTCTTTGTTTCTTGCTACTAAAAAAATTACCAAGAACTCCCACTTCAGATTGAATTAATTTTTTTTCTTTTTTTCATATCATGAACTATACTTTCTAGGAAACATGATTCTATATAATCAACCCAAATTGAAGATAAATTTAACCCATAGATATTATTTGAAATTTAATAGGAATTCAACCCAAAATCCAAACTATATAAAAACACATATGTAGTGAGACCATCAAATAAAGAGAAGAACAGAGAAAAAGTAAGAGAAAAACATTGAAAATTTCTTAGCTGCCTATTTGTGGAACAAACAAGAAAATCTATTTGAATCAAATAAAAAAAAAAAAAAAAACTATTGAAGCCGAATACCTGAGAACTGAAAAATATAAAACAACCATACCTGAGAGAAACATAACCCTAGATCAGATCCAAATCATCCAAACCAAGCTCGAGCCATCGTTTATGGAAGAGATGAGAACCTAGATCACCGATGAAAATCAAAACCTAAGCAAGAGTTTATTTAAATGGAACACAGATCCAGATCGTTACTATGCAGTGATGAAAATCTCTGAATCTTGAGTTCACTCATAGTAAGTCTAGATCAAACTCGATGAATAACAAGCCCTATAATGAAAGTCAAAACCCTAATCAAATGTAAATACAATAATTTTCAATAATAAATTTGAACATATATGAAACCTAGTAAATAAATACAAGATCGCTACCATGAAAGCTCTGTATCTCAAGTGAACTCAGCAACTCCAAATCACGAGCGATTGGATACCTGAATCCATGAAAAACGAAGACCTAGATCGGCAAAGATTAAGGGAAATCGAAAAATCTCGAAGGGAAATCGATTAATGGCACAGTTGCACTTCCTCAAATCAGAAAATGAGATCCAAAACTCAAATAAAATCTTGTCTCCCAATTTAAGTAATTTATTATAGCATAGAAATGTAGACATAGAAATTCACAGGTCGGGCACTAATACTAATTTGTTCCAATTTAAAAAAGAAATAAAAGTATTATCACAAATTAAACATAATTAACCTTAAATCTAAAGAGAAAAAAGTGAGGGGAAATGTTTCTTTGAATAGAAGACCATGACAGATGCAGACAGTATGACTTTTGGCTTGAAAGAATGAATTAATTACCTAAGTACGACATATCTAGGATAACAATCATAGTATTAGAGCATTAATAGCGTAATTAACCAACCTTTCTTAAATAAAATTCCAAAAAGAGTTGGGACTTTAATATTAACAAACATCAACAACACACTTTAATTGAAACGCTAAAAAAGAGGATGTGTAAGAATTTCACCATCATTCAAAGTTCCAAAAACAGGAGTTGGTAAAAAGTTTTAAAAGCAAAAGGATTAGTGAAAGCCCAAAAAGATGAGAATTTCTCTTACAAATACCAAATTTCCAAAAAATAAAAAATCAAATATACAAAAAAATCCCAACCTTCCAAAAACCTAAATCCAACGCATCTTCCCATATCATAAACTTATCTAAAATACCATGAAATCAAACCTGAACTTAATTAAAATAAAAATAAATAGAAAAAAAAAACAAAAAAACAACTATCAGCTGAATTAAGAGCTAAAGAAAACAGATTGAAGACCCAGAAGCAAGAACAACCCATTTCACCAAAAACAAAAACTAAAACAAGAATCAATCAAAATGAAATCAAAGAACATCCAGAGTTTCGAAATCAAATGATTCGAATTCCTCAGGTGTTTGTCTGGAGATGGAGAGAGCTCTTTAGAGGAATTCTTCAGATTTTCAATTTGGTAAGTGCAGTCTATGGGAGTTGGTTTTTATAGTGACGACTATGTAACATGACACAATCCAACAAATACAAACATGATAAAAGTTTATTTTATAGTAAGAGTTCCATCATCATTTTTATTTTTTTGGTGTTTGGATAAAAATTAAAAGGTAAAATAAAATAACAATAGTTTTTCATTGACACATTTATCAAACATTTAACATGCAAGGAAAATGGTACAATAAGAATCGCAATATCAACAAGTTATTCCAACAAAAAAAATCCATAAAAAAATTTATGTCAGTAGGATAAGAATCAATCAACGAACTACTCATCAGGAAATACTACCCTCAACTACAAATCGGTCATCATCAATAAACTAGTCACCAGCACCAATTTTAGAAACTGTTTTGACATTTTCTATAAGGAAAATGTGATAGAGTGACAAAGATAATGAGATTCAATCAAAAACTAGAGAGAAAGGTCCAAATCTCATAGAGCAATTTAGAGAATACATGAAATTGGATCGGAGAGATTGAGAGAGTAGATTTGATATTACTATACTAGCAGATCGGAGAGATAGAGAGAGCAAATCTGATCGGATAGAGAACAGATCTGAGAATAAGATCTACATCTCTACATCGTTGAGCTTGCTTCTATTCATTGTTGCTAACGATCCAGATCCAACGTTGCTAGCTTATCCTGTACGTGATCAGAGACATTAATACGACACTCATAACCCTAGATAAATCGATTTGGAAAGAGAAAATACAAAACAAAAGAAAAGAAACTAGAAATCAACTATAAATCGTTAGTTTCAGCTATGAAAGTTTACAGATCTTATGTGAATGTAGCAAATCCATATCAGAAAACTCTAACCTTGAGCCCTAGATCGACTTAGATAAGAGGGATTCAAACGATATTACAGAGATACACTCAAATCAAGTACAGAACAAGAATTTCCAAATCATACAACCAAAGAATCTATGGAGATCGAAGATCCAAGGCCCTGATTTCTCTCTTTGCCCCTCTCTCTCTCTCTCTCACAAAAGTCACGCCTCTGTTCTCTTCTTTTGATTAGAAACCTACCTTTTCAATCCCAAATAAACGTTATTTCACAACTTTCTATTAACGGCGCACAAAACGAGATAAAATAATTAAATTGGCTGAGAAGGTAAAAAATCATAAAAAATTTCACAACGTTTTTAAAAAACGCCAGGAAAAAAAATGTGGTAATATCCTATTTTTCTTGTAGTGCAATTACTAAGTTTCAAAAAGAAAACATAAAAAGGGATTAAAATAATAATAGTGTATAGCTGCATTGGTTAAACCAATTTGATATGCAACAAGAAAGAATGAATTCCTGATCTCATCATCTTTCATTATCACCATAAGTCCATGGACAGATAATTTTTATATAACCTATGCTAGTTTCTTTCTTTTCTTATTGTAGTTTCTTCAAATAGATTTGCGCTTTCTAGGCTCCATTCTATAATTCCTTTTTTTTTTTTTTTGGTTCAAGGTTAGGGAAGTGATTAGAGAGGCAAACTATGCTAATGGTCCAACAATTTTGGAAGTGGCTAGAGGATGAGCAGCAACAACTATCTGGGAGTTGGAGAGTATATAACTAGGTGAGGATGAAGCAGAAAGCTCAAGAAGAAATGAATGGCAATACACAAATGGGCATCATCTCCTCCAAATCCTCAAAATTCTTCTTCTTGGACCTTGGGAAGTGAGTTCTATTTATAGGCTTTTCTTTTGTACCAAGAGGACACCAAGTGGCCAAATAGAGAGAAGACAGGTGTCTCTAAGGATCACATAGAATATTCTGCCTTGAGCCACCAGGCTGAAGGTGCCACGTGTCCCTCTGTATGTACTATGTGCTATCTGTTTTCCTCCACAACTACCTTTTTGAGCCTCAGCTAGTGTAGTTGCGACGGGAGTGTTTGGCGCTGTAACTCCCTTTTGAGCCTTAGCAAATGCAGTTGCGGCGAGAGTGTTTGCCTCTGCACTTGCCTTATCAGCCTGAACCTCAGCAAGTGCACTTGTAGTGGTGAACCTTTCTGCTGCACTTGCCTTCTCAGTTCTATTTGGCTAGTACATGCGCTCTCAAGACTCCATTAGCCTACTATCGGCTATGTTTTTGTGTTCACCTCAGCGAAGCCTCCACCGTTAGCCACCTAACCACAAACTCCCCAGCTTCACAGGGCGAAGGCCACACCTAAGCCAGCTATCAGCCATGCTGTGCCTTAGTACCAAGCCCAAGAGAGCTTCCTTGGTCCTGCCTGTGCAACCAATGTTGGTCCATAACCTGGGTGAATGGAAAGAGAGTCCCTTGCGCTCAGGATGCCCTGCTCCCATCTTCGCGGGTGTAGACGCGCCCCGAGGGCCTCATGCTACAGTTCGAACTCATGTGCCACGGTTCTGAATTTAGTCTCGCAAAGTACAATGCAAGACCGATAAATCACCAAAGAGTCTAAATCCAGCAAATCGTTTTGGAAAACTGATTTTTAAAATTTTTTTTTTTACTTTTTTAGATGCACTTTATTTAGATGTATCTAAAAAGTAAAAAATTTGTGAAAAAATATTTTTAAAAATTAATAAATATATAAAAATACAAAAAATATACTGAATTCTCGTATTTTTTTTTTATATTTTTGGTATTTAGTAAATTTTTAAAAGGTTTCCTTCACAAATTTTTTACTTTTTAGATATATTTATGTTAGGTATGTCTAAAAAGTAAAAAAAAATTGTTTAAAATATTAAAAAATTCAATAAAAACAAAAAAATACGGAAAATAAGAAAGTAGAATTTTCTGAAAAGAGTTTTTGGAAAACTCTAACAAAGAATTTTATAATTTTATGTTGAGTAATTAAAAAATAAAAGTAAATATGGTAAATATTGATCATGGGCAAAATCACGTAATATCCCTAGATCATGATATAATTTTATTTTATTTTATTTTATTTTTCTCTTGATATGGTGCCTTAAAGGTGGTGAGAATTTTTCAAATGTCATTTACATTTAAAAAATATATTAAAAAAAGGGTATTTACTATCAAAGTTATTCACTGTTTGGTTTTGAATTCTACAAATAGTTTCTGTATTTTGAATTCATATATTTTTTTAAGTAACTTTTTAAAATATTCTACTCAATTGTTATTATATAATTTTTAGATATATCTAATTTAGATGTACTTAAAAATTAAATATTGATTAAATATACTTAAAAATTTTAATAGATACAAAAAATATATGAAAATGTATTGAATTTTATATATTTTTAATATTTAGTGAATTTTATAATATTTTTTCACAATTTTATATTTTTTTTAAGTGTATATTTGGATTAAGTGGATCTAAAATGCAAATAAAAATTTGATTAAAATATTAAAAAAAATTCACTGAAAACAAAAAAAGATAAATTGAAAACTCAAAAACTATTTTTGAAAATTCCAATTCAAACAAAGTATTTGTTATTTGTAAATGATTTTTTAAACGTTTATTTGATTTTGGTAACATTTTTTGTCACGACCCCAAACCGCCCCTAGTAGTTTGGTGCCGTGATGGCCAGTAATCCGTGATTACCGAAGGCCAACTTCCAAAATTCACACACAATCAGAGTATAGATATAGGGGGCTCACAAGTGCGGAAGCAATAATCTAACATACAAGTGGTCCATAAGAGCAGTGCATAAGTCAAATGAAATGGCATACATCTTTACATAGCTTTACAACTTGAATACAAATAGAAATGAAGTACAAAAAATGCATATTACATCTTGGAAAAAGGCTTCTCGAGCCGACATGTTCAAAATACATAAGCTTAAAAAATTGCCGACATAAACAAAAACACTTGAGCCACAAATCATGAAACATAATCTTCTAGTTTGTCGACATCCTCACTACCGACATAAACATACATGCAAAACACACATCTCGGCGTAGCTGACTTCTTGCTTGCTACCTACATATATACATAGGGAGGGTGAGCTTGGATACTCAGTGAATGGTATAAGTAATAAAGGGGTTAAATGAATGATTCCCGAGGTCTTTCAAAACAATACATAATATATCTT